AACACATAGAAAGAAGACCCTCCTACACCAATACTTGTGTGAACTTTCTCTCCACTCCTAACCACCAGTTCCCTCCCTACCGCCCTGGTGACTTGTCCTGTGGATGTAAGTCTTCCTCAGAGTTCCAAACCGTGCTGTACTGTCCGTGCAGTGCTGGCCACACACACTGGAGAAGATTTGTCCCCATGGGTAAATTTGGGGGCTATGGTGCATAGCCCAGAAAGTTTTTGCTTTAGTTTTCCTTTAGCGTTACTGTTGTATTATTTCATTTTCCTATATTGTTATGACATGAAGTCTATATATGTTAATTTTGTCTTTTAAAATTTATTAATTCTTTGAGAACTGTGGACAATGTATTTCAATCACATCCAGCCCCCTCCCAGCCTCTTCCTGATCTACCCCACTTGCCCACCACCCATCTTGGTGTCCAGCCAATAACTTGTGACTGCCCAGGTCATAGCTTCCTAGGACAGAAGTCATTACTATTATTCTGCTAAATGGACTTAAAAAGGTTTTCTAAGATAAAACAATTTTGTAGCCACATGAAATTGAACTTCTTGAGGATAAAACTGTCTGTTAAGTCTGACAACATATTCCTGACTGTAATTCATTCTTTACCACCTCTATATTATGAGAACTCTAATTCAGTCTCATGAAAAAGAAGAGTTGCCATGAAGATGGGTTGTATATCTTGTTTGTTTAGTAATTCCTTCTGGGCTATGGTTCTAATTATATTCTAAATATTTGTCTAGAATCTTTATATATTAAATGCTCTCCTAACACTCAGATCCACCCATCTCCATGCCGTCATGGAGCCCTAAAAACTTAGAATGTCCTAGATTCCTAAGTCAAACTCTCCCAAGTTCTGCATCTCAGTGAACTCTCTCTCCAGTTGCTACCCACAAGCAGTGGCATGTGTTGGCTTCTCCTTTTCCTTCACAAATCTAAACATCAGTTTGCAAAAGTCTTGCCATCTGCTGAGTATCTCTCAGATTCTTTACTGTGCATCTCCATCCTCTGCCTTCCTATACCATCATCTCTGTCAGGATCATCACGGAAAGCTTCTAAATGGTATCACCACTGTAATTTCATCATGGTACAACTCACTCTTTGTACGACGATCAGAGTAGGTTTTTAGATTTTACTGTTATTTTGTGTGTATGGATGTTTTGCATGCATGCATGTCTGTGCACCATTTGCATGTGTCCTGTACACAGAAGTCAGATGAGGGCATCAGATCTCCTAGAACTGGAGTTATAGATGGTTCCTAGCCACCATATGAGTGCTGGGAATCAAACCCAGGTCCTCTGGGAGAGCAGCCAATGCTCTTAACCATGAGTTATCTCTCCAGCCCCTGGAATATTTTTTTAACCAATAATTAAGCTGTGCTACAACCAGCTTGAAAGCCTGCAGTAGCTCTCACTACTCATGCAAGATGCTTCAACCTCTTTCAATACCACTCACAGAGTCTTCTGAGATGACCTTCTCTGCCTTCCCACCTCTTGCTGTCTTCCCACTGAGAACCACCTTCAGTCATAGGAACATCTTCTCTGTAACTATTGTCCTTTCTTTCACTTCTGGGCTTTCGCATGTGCTCTTTGGGGAGCCCCCACCCCCTTCCTTTAAGCTGGTCATCTCTCTCCCTTGATGTCTCAGGGCACATTTCCACTTGTAGCTCTGTACCTATCTGCTTTCCTGTGTCAGCCTGTCACTCAAGACTGTTAGGTCTGAAGGGTGTGGTCTTGCCCCTCTAATTCACCCTGTGTCTTTGCTGCCTGACACTGTGTCTAAGGTATAAGAAGCATTGCATCTCCTTAGAAATGCAAGTTTAGAATGGCGTTTGTTTACAGAGAAGTTGCTAAGAAGTATAGGTAGTTTCTTTATACTATACCACCCAGTTTCCAGTATTAACATTTTACATTAAGGCAACATACTTGCCACAACTAACAGATATGTGTTGGTATCTCATTATTAACACAAGACCATATTTTTCCTTTCAAATAATATTTTGTAAGTATTTTCAGTTTTATTTTATTATTACTCTGTGTGTATGTGCATGACATGTGTGTATGCGCATGACGTGTGTGTGTGTGTGTGTGTGTATTGTAAGTGCAAAGATGTAAATGTCACTCACATGTGTGTGGAGGTCAGAGGACAACTCTCGAGAGTTCGTCCTCTCCTTTCCTCATGGGTCCACGTAACTGAGCTCAGGTCATCGTGCACAGCAATACTCCCGCCCCCTGAGCAGTGACACTCGGGGCAGTGCTTTGTTCACATTTCCTTAGCTGTTACTGCACACCCCTTTTCTGTTCCGGGACCTTGCCTGAGATGCCTCATCTAGTAGACCGATCTCCTTAGGCACATACCTCTTTGTTTCGACACTTTATTGGACTTTCCTTCTTTCTAATTACCTTAAGCGTTTTGAGAAGCTCAGTTACGTAATCTGTGGCAGGTCCTCCCTCTGGGGTTTGTCTGACATTTCTCTCCTGATTAGACTGGGGTGACAGCGTTGAGGGAAAGTCACAGGAGCAAGTATCATTTCCATATGGCCATTTGCTGTCAGCGCGACTTCTCGCTGGTGACATTTATCACCTGACTCGTGCTTGTCAAGAGTCTCCATATTATCCACTCCTTTCTTTGTCCTTCCATACTGTCTCCAGGAAGACACTAGGTCTAGCCTTCCTCTGAGGGGAAAGAAGATATGAAGCCTCCTCCTTGTGTTAACTGATCCAGTCATCCAGTGCTGCCACAGTACTGATGTGGAGCCTGGATCTTCATTGTACCTAGGTTCTGATTCAGTATTGCCTTTTGTTGTTGCTGCCCAGATTATTCCTTCTTTGCCCACTGGGGCTCCTTCCATGTTTATCTGCTGTTTATTTTGTTTGTCTTAAACGCATCCCTTTCCGGCACAACATAATGTTTCTCATCATGTCCCAGACTTAGATTGACCATTTCTCCAAGACTCCCTGGCTCCTTTCAAAGGCGAGCAATGAGGAACCATAAGATCTTTGGAGACACAAAATAATTAAGTTAAAAATTTGATTCGTTTAGAAACCACAGATCTGCAAAGAATGAGAGAATGTGAGAGTCCCACCATCCAAAATAAACAAGTATCATTTTTAATTTTGCTTCTGACATTGTTTCCAAGAAAAACACTTAAAAGGTTAAAGATCGTTGCTCTCCTCTCTGTCTTGCCAGAAGCAGTCAACCACAGTCTCCATGTGTAGATTTTCTTTTTCAAACATGTAGACTCTACATTGTAGAGAGTACTTGCAGGAGAAAATATATGTTAAGGAAAAGACTGGACTTTAACTGTGCTGTGTGCCCCAGCTTTTGAACTGTTCTAGGTGGTAGCCGTGACTCTTCCCTCCACTGTTCCACTCACTTCTCCTAAGCTAGACTTCCCTCTTGCCCCTCCCTCAGGGATATCTTCTCTCCGCTCTCGTTAGCAGCCAAGTCTGTTCCATCCATCTCACCCACTGTTGACTCTCTGTAGGCCGCCCATGTATCACCTTTCCCGGAAAAAAAAAAAAAAAAAAAAAGAATGTCTTAGCTAGGGTTTCTATCGCTGTGAAGAGACGCCATGACCATAGCAACTCTAATAAGGAAAGCATTTAATTAGTGTGGCCCACTACAGTTCAGAGGTTCTGTCCGTTGTCATCATGGTGGGAAGCAAGGCAGCATGCAGGCAGACATGGTGCTGGAGCTGAGAGTTCTTACATCTTGATCCAAAGGCAACAGGAAGTGAACTGACTCACTGAGCATGGCTTGAGCACATAGGAAACCCCAAAGCCCACCTCCACAGTGACACACTTCCTCCAACAAGACCACACTTTACTCCAACAAAGTTCCTCCTTTTAGGGGCCATTTTCTTTCAAACCACCACAGAGGATGTCATGCTAGATGTTGTAAGCTTTGTGAAAGCAAACATTTTTGAGACTTTTTAAAATTAACTTTGCTGTTTGATAATTTCATACATGTTTATGATGCATTCTAATTACTTTCCCACTCACTCTCTCTTCCCTCTTCCTCCCCCATCAACCCCTTTCCTCCCTCCAAATCCCTTCCTCACATTCATGTCTTTCTGTTTGATTTCCTCACCCACTGGCTTTAACCAGGGCTGTCTGTTGGAACTTGGTAAGCTCACCAATAGATACAGAACTGAAGACAATGACTTCTCCTCTGCCTGAATCTATCTATAAGTGGAGTGGGGGTATAGATGTCCCCATTCATAACTGGTGGTTGACAGGAACAACCTTTGCAGGCCAAGATCTTACATGCATAGCTGCTGGGCGGGCATGACTGGGATGGCCACGTCATATCCAGAGATGGCATTTCACAGTCCGTCTCCCTGTGTTCTGATCTTACGTTCTTTCCGTTCCCTCATCTATGGTACCCACTCCCTGAGCCTTAGGGAGGCTTTGAACTGCAAAGAACTGTGCAAATGTAAGATCTTACTACTCTGTTCATTGTGAAAACAAAACAAAAAACAAACAAACAAGAAACTTGAACTTGACACTTGAGGCATCATTTATTTGTTTGAAGTGTCTGTTTAGAATAGAATAGAATGTTAGAATAGAATCTTATATTAGCATATTCTAGTTGGACTGATTCTGAGCTCAGCAATATTATCAGTTCCTTCCAATTCTTTCCAAATTGTTGCTTTCGGAAGGCTGAGGCTGTCAGGCTGGAGGTCGTAGGGTATCTGGAAACCAGGATAGTAATTTTCATGGCTCTTTATTCTATTTTTCTTATATGTATTGTTCCTCAAGATGTAGGAAAAATACCCACCAAAGAGAAAAGACCTATCATTGAATCTCATAAAATCAGCTCTAGCAAGTGACTTAAAATGGAAAGTTAATTGTCCAGTTGTAAGTTGAAAGGCTGCCGTGTTCATCTCCAGTTCTTGAATTCCCTTTGTGGAAGGTTCTAGTGATGATGTTCTGGGCAGAGCAGAAGGTTTTTGGAAATCCCAGTAACCCTCATTTTTTCCCCTGTAGCCCACACTTACTTTGGCAGAAGAAAATTTGGAAGCAGTCGCTGGAAGACAGTTGGCATCATATCTAGAGAGTGGACAGCAGCACAATGAAGCACTTCCTGCGGTAAGTGATCGAGGCTCCCTGGGTGAGCCCTCCGAAGGGGAGAAACCTCCTCGCCAGTTAGAGGGCTAGCTATCTCCTCTGCTCCTCAGTTGTGAGCCCCAGACAGGGTCATTGGGTTTGCGCTTTGAACGAGGGTAACCTGTGAGTGAGGCTCCTCTCTTCCTCTGATGTTGAGAGAGCACTTGGAGATGACAGGAGAGCCTGGTCAAAAGCATGAATGTTCTTCATGACCTCGGAGACATGTGTTCCTCAAGAATGATATGCAGTCGTCTGAAAGTTGGGGTCAATGAACCAGCTGTTAAAGGATCAATAAATGTAATTTGTGTAAAATCGTTGTTCTAAAATAAAGACTTCTAAGTCTTCAAAATTTAGGGCTCAACTGACACACCGGTCCACACCAGTTCTTCTCCGTGGTGCCAGTGTGCTCTGTCTGTCCCTGCTGTCTCCGCGATAGCCATGAACAGCTCCCACGCTGACCCGCACAGAGAGTCTATGCTAGTGGACTTTGGACAGTCCTGTTGCTTAGAAGCCATTGGCCGGAGTCCTTGAGATTAACTCCAAAGCTGCTAATTGCCATCAGATTTTCCATTAATGAAATATATTGCATCATATTAAAAAGTTACAAAATAGAGTTAGTCGGAGCATTAGAAAATTCAATACATTTTCTGGTATGATCTTCTTTCCTTCAAGGTAGTGACCTCCATCTGATACACGTTCCTTGTTCTACCCTGGTCACCCTCGAAGCAAGTTGTGGGTGAACTTGCTTCTTTCAAGAAACTGTTTGACTCTATCAGAGGCAATTTAAGCCTTTCTTCTCCCCACTGGTTTTGTTTCCATCACTGTTTCTGGAGGCATGGGTAGGAGGAATTCTCTGTGCTTGGGTATGGTCAGTGGTGACTACTGGGTAATTATGCAAACTACCTGGAGATCACACGTAAACCACTTCCAGATGTCAGAGTTTGTTATCTTGAACAGAATGTTCACTAACCTGTTTATCTCAGCCATGGGAAAAGAAAGTATCTGAAATATCACTAATGTGTTTATTTGACCTGATATGTCTTTGGTTGCTATGGTTATTAAGTCACCTGTTTACACAATCAAGGAAAACTGGTGTGTACAATTGTCTCCCGAATGCAAATGTAGATCGGTCAGCTATAGAAGCACACTAACAGGCAGCTTCGCTGTGATACGAAGCTTAGCGTCCAGGACTCCCTCTGCCACCAGAGTTATGTGATGTGATGATGAGGGTTGTATCAAGCCTGTACTGATGAACTTTTCTACACTGTCTCAATGCGTTTCAGAAAAACTTGAGCCCACACACACACACACACACACACACACAAAGAGTTTCTATTGATTATTTATTTTGAAATAACAAAAAGAAATTTGTTGCCCATTCTTAGTTGATTATTGGATTTTGCTTTAGATTTTGCTTTTAATACTTTTAGCTGTTATGTTGTTTCAGTTCATTTTATGTTAATATATGGAATGTGGAAGTGTAGACATCAAGAAATTTACAAACTAAGGTTATATTAATATTTATTTCCTGAACAGTATATTCTCATAGCTACTGGGCAAGTTTGGAAACGTTTCAACCAAAAAGAAGGTTATGTAAATGCAGCCTGAATGAATCAGGTATTAATTCCTGATTCTACATTAAGTAACACGAGAAGCTGACTTTTCCTGAGGAGAATTTCAGCATTACTTTAAAGGCCACAGAGAGATTAATCTGTCAACTTCTGAAATGAAACGCTCCAGGCCTAGACCAGAGGAAACTAAATGAACCTTTAGAATCCAGATTGTAAGGAAGAATGAATTCTAACTCACATTTAAAGTGTGTGGTGTCTATCCAAATCCCTTTTTTTTCCTAACTGCCTTATCCAAGCAATTTATAAGAAAGGATTTATTCAGCTCATGATTCTGGAAGCTGGGAGGCCCAAAGTTGAGGGACTGCACCTGGAGAGGACTTTCTTGCTGCCAGAGACCCTGAAGAATCCCAAGACCTTACAAAGTTCTGCTTGGTGAGAGAGGCATGTGACAGATGCCCCACTCCAAGGTCATAAATGGATTGATCCACTAACCCATACATGGACTCATCCACAAAGGTGGCACATCCGTGGCCTAGTCACTTCTAAAAGACATCCCTGGTCCCACCCCTTAACACTTTACAATGGAGCTCAGTCTGAGCATGAGTTTTGCATGGGGCAGTCAAAGCATAGCAGTAACCTGTCTCTTCCGCTGCTGCGGCTGTGGAGTGTAGTGATGGTGGAGCTACTCAGCGCATAATGGGATGGAGAAAATGGTTTGCGTGTGTTTTTAATTGCGTTAGGAATAATAAGTAATTGCTACAGGGTGAGTACGCCCAGCTAAAGGATATGTTTGTGACTGAATGCAGTCGTAGAATATTGACTAAGTAACTGCCCTTGGTCACTCAATCAGATGTTAGCCACAGCTGCATAAGAAGAAAGCAAGGCATCCCATAAATGAGGAAATATACCTCTGTGATCTCAAAAAGAGGTCAGCGTGTCTTATACCCCAAGTGAAATTAAGGATTCAGGTTTAGTTTTTGTAATTTTATTTATTTTAATTCAATTGGTAGATACAGTAATAAGGGACTTGAGACTCATACTGAAAATCTTTTCCTTCATTAGAATTTCATTATTTTGAGATTTTATTTTTTTTAAAGTCATCAGAACATTATCCTGGAAAATTCTGATAAAGAGAATTTTAAAATCACCCCTCATAAATATGGGCCACTGTCTCTTCCAGCCTCAGAGTCTCACTTTTCCATTGTGAGCCTTCCTGTGTATGCTCAAAAGGAAGGAAAGGCAAGAATTTGCCACGCTCAAACCTCCATGAGCAACTCAGGACCCATCCCTCCCTCCAGACTTTGAAGTAATTAGGAGAAGTATTTTACCTTTCTGATTGGCTAATAAAGTCTCATCCCTCACGAATGTAACTGGGGCTTTGTAAGTCATTCAGCCTTGGCTAACGTTTGGCCCACTGATTCTTTCAGCCAGCGTTTGCTGTGACGACACCTGTATCACAGTGTTTCCCTTCTCAGAGCTACTGTGTAAAGGACTTAATGGGCCGTCGTATAGAGGAAGACCAGGGAGCTTACTCAGTTGAGTGGCTTGTTCCAAGGCACACAGATATTTGAATACAGACCTATTTCTGGTAGCTTGCGTGTTGCGTGCCTCCCTTGTTGTGTGTGAGTCTTTGTGGGTGAGACGAAGGGATGGGAGTCGGTCTCTGCATCCAAGCAGCAGAGCAACTAGAGAAGCGAGGCTGAGCTCAGATATAGGGAAGGGTGTGGCCTGTGGCAGACTGCAGACTTTCTGGCCACAGAAGTCTCCACTAAGGCAATACTGACAAGGGTGGTTAGGGCATTGCTGATTGGAGCTGGGAGTCAAACCCTCCCATGCCCTTGGTCGCTGAACGCCATCTCCAGAATTTGGACATAGGCAGTTGAGAGGACTGCAGGTGCAGGAGATGGAAAAACCACCGTGAGCGAAGTGAAGTAGGAGTGAGCACCACTGCGCCAGCGGTCGCCTTCAGCAGATGTGGGCTCTGCCTAGAGTGAGCAGAGGATAAATAAAGGAGTGTAGAGAGTGCGGACATGTTTGCGAGTGTGACATCAAACACCCCAGGAGCATGGCAACGTGTTTACCCCAGTTCAAAGCAGGCTCTGAAGAGAATCTTTTTCTCTGCTAGAACATCTCCTGTTTTGTTTTGTTTTGTTTTGTTTTTGAAGAAAATGCCAGTCCAATCCTTCCCCTTAACACAAATGTGAAAGCAGAGACCCAGAGAGGCAAAGTAGCTTGTCTGAGGACACATGATTCACGCTGGCAAATTGCAAATAGGTTTGAAGCCTGATTTCTAGACTATCCAGGCAAATGTCCACACCCAGTACCAACTGATTTCTTCTGCTTTTAAGGGGCAGCCCCACAGGGGTGTGTGGTTGTGCCTGAATTTGCTTTGTGTCCCTTGAAGCATTGATGAAGTTTATTAGAGAGAAAAGCTAAGTCTAAAAGCAGCAAGAGCAGAAAAGTGACTATATAACCCCTGCAGCCAATTCCCCCATATCAGCTGGGCTCTTTAATCCATTGCCGCCATTTTTCCCTTTTCAGAATACATACATGCATACATATACACACAAACACATTTCTATGTGCATACAAAGCATACATGCAGACCTGAAGTGTACATATGCACACATATAACTGACTAATTTATACATATCTAAGAGCACACGTTTTTCCACACATTCAAATGATCAACTGTTTCCACACTCTTGTAAGAATCTATTAACTCGGATCTTTGTCCAGGGGATGCCCTCTGGGTGGTGCCTCCAGAGTGTGATGTTGCCAGTCCTGTCTGCTGTTTTCCGTCAGTTTTTCAGAGACTCACTCTGGCTATGTGACTGTTTGTTAAGCCCCCCCCCCAAAAAGAGACAGGATCAACAAAAGCCGGGGCACCCCATATAAACTGCTCTGGATTCTATTTATTTATCAATTGAAATTCTTCTCTTCCTCTGAAGGAAGACCTCCCAGGCATTTCTTATCTCCCTGTGAGACAATCAAAGTTGACTTTTCTATTGTCTAAGAGATGGTTCAGGGTTTAAAAACATATCTGCTCTTGCAGAGGACCCAAGATAGCTCAGTTCCAAGGACCCATATCTGTCAACTCACAACCACCAGTAACTTCATATCAAGTGATTCTACACCCTCTTCTGGTCTCTGCAGGTGCCTGCACTCATATGCACGCACGCGCGCGCACACACACACATGCACACGCACGCACACGCACACATGCACACACAAACACATAATTAAAAATAAAATCAATCTTTAAAAGAATCTTTTAAAGACCAGCTTTTCCCTTCAATCTCAGAGGATGAAACTATACATTCTCCTCTAGAGTTACTATACTATTTTTCAATATTTCAGTGTTTAGTTCTTTATTATTATTGTCGCTGTCTGTGTGCATGACATGTGTGT